GACACAGCCAGATGTTTAGAACATAACGTAACATCACGCCTTTTTTCCCCGAAGGGGTAGGCAGAGGTGCACATTATGTCACTGTACAATGTAACACCCACTTTTCACTATTTATGTTATGAGTCCCATGTAATAGGGGGTGAGTCTATTGCTATATAACACAATTACAGACTCCGTGCTATTACTGAGATTTTTTTTAAAAACCCAGTATTCCTTCCCTCGGACCGGGAATCGAATCCGAGACCCCTTGCCCCCGAGTCGCACTTGCGACCACTCATCCAACGAAGCGGGCATATAAAGAACACTCACCTATTACAAGAAACTCATTACATGACTGGTGATAAGGGGTGTTACATTGTTTGCGCTCTGCCTACCGTCTCGTTTGGCCACCGTCTCGCCTGATGGTAACCGATGCGGCCGACGATGGAGCACGCCTACCTATGAGCAACCTGTTCACTCGAGACTTGAAGACACCAAGTTATATTTGTCAGGAAACACAGATTCCGGCAAGGAGTTCCATTCCTTAGCTGTTCGCATGAGAAAGCTTGACGCGAAACGCTTCGTGCGAATGGGTAGAATCTCCACCATTAAAGCGCCCTGTCGTTCGTTTAGTAATGCGATGGTAATTAACGGACTAGGAGGAATAAAGTTGTGCAATTCCCATGCACACAGACTTTACGCCTGTATTCGAGGCTTTGAAGCCGAGCGTCCACAAGTTAGTCACACACACGTGTAATTTAAAAAGAAAGTGTTTCCAAAGACATATTTATCTAGTCTGTGAATCAACAATTAATAATTATGTCCATCCAAAGGTTGCCTAGTAGATAGTAGATAATTATTGTTTAGTGATGTTGGTGCCTACGTTTATACCCTTTTATTTATAAATATAATCAGTTTGGGTGCTAACTGCGAACTAGAGTACATTAATTGTCATAAGCCCTGTTCAATGGGGATGATGACAGGGTATGAAAATTAAAAATATAATTAGTCCGTAAGTTAGGTAATAAAAAAATATTAGACACGTATTTTTTTATTTTGTCGTATAATAAAACAATACTTAGATAAAACGAATCAAAGTTTAGGAGTGGGGGCTAAAACGTCATTTCTTAGTATAAAATGTACTGAGAAGTGACGTCACGCGACATTTCAAATCAATATATCTTCGAAACTATTCGTTTCTGTGAGAAAATAAAAAATACGTGTCTAATGTTTTTAAATAATCTATCAGACGGACATTAAAATAAAAATTAGTCGTCTACCCTATTCACACGATAAATAATTATTGCATTATATATTGAAAATATATATATATATAACAAAAGGTTTAAAGGTATTATATTGGTCTATTTTGATACATGGATAGAGAATCGACGACTGATAGGCCACAAAGGTCCTCGAATGGAGACCACGTACCGACAAACAATGTGTAAAACGTCCACGTAGTAACCCGTATATAGTGACAGCAGAGTACAATTCATTTGTCATCATCTCTATTCTTCACACGGATATCACAACCCATGAATCAACTATGGAATTACATAGCAGCGCTCTCTGATAAGCCTGAACTCTTTATCCTGCGATCTCCAACCCGCCTGCCTGCGGAGATTATGACAAACCCCTCTTAACTCGTCGAGCACCGGTTTTATAGACACAATTAAAGAACAATAGGTCGCGGTCACCGGTGACCGCTCGGTGTTTGACAGTTTAAGTAGAGGTAGGGCCGACTTAGACTATGACTATGCCCTCGTTGCACTACACTAGAATTTTCTCCTGTATCGTAAGTGCGTTACAAATATACAAGTTCAAATACTAAATTAAGTAAAAACGCGGGTTACTCACGTGAATATACTGAGAAAAGCTCTACTAGTTTCGAACCACAGAGGGTTCTTCCTCATGAGCAGCGTGCGCGGTCGCGGCGACGTCGCGCAGCTCACTGGCTGGCGTTGGCGCTCGCCTCGGTGTTGCCACCTGCGCTGCGAGCCCATCGCGCCCTCTGTCGGACACTACGAGCGTTTGCTTCCAACTCCGGTGGCGCGTTGGAAGAACCCCTCTGTGGTTCGAAACTAGTAGAGCTTTTCTCAGTATATTCACGTGAGTAATCCGCGATTTTACTTAATTTAGTATGTCTCACGATAGTTATTATAAAAACAAGTTCAAATACCTACACTTTACACCAAACCCAAAAAACTAATTTGTAGATCTCACAAAGATTTGGTCTGTGATGTAATTAAGCCTGCAATACGTTACGGGGCAGCCGGATGTGTCTATCGTATAAATTGTCGGTAGGTACTTCGGGGCCGGGCGCCGAGTGCCCTTATTGTAAAGAGCGTAGAGGAAGATCATTGTTTAACAGTATACTGTCATATGCTGTTGACTGTTGATAATGATGATATTGTCTGCAGACTGCCTCGTTGGCCGCGTAGTCACAAGTGCGACTTCCGGGCAAGGGGTCTCGGGTTCGGCAAATAATTAATGGGATTTAAAAAAATATATCATTAGTAGCACAGTCTAGAATTGTGGCTGGTATATGGCAATAAGCTCACGCCCTATTACATGGGACTCATAACATAAATAGTGAAAAGTGGGTGTTACATTGTACAGTAGCATTAAGTGCCGCAATATGCACCTCTGCTTACCCCTCCGGGAATAAAAGCCACTTTTCACTATTTATGTAACGAGTCCCATGTAATAGGGGGTAAACCTGTTGCCATATACCGGACACAATATTCCAGACTCCGTACTACTGCTGAGAATTTATTAAAAACCCAGTAATACTTTGCCCGACCCGGGAATTAAACCCGAGACCCCTTGCCCGGCAGTCTCACTTGCGACCACTCGGCCAACGAGGCCGTCTTTATTTATCAGTACAATTTGTATTAGTCATACGATTATTTTTAGTCTTTATCATAGAATTTGCACTAAAAATATATGACAGTGATTATCTGTAATTATTATTATGTTATAATAGATAATCTTGTGTTCACTGATTAAAATTGTATAGGTATCATTAATTTTGACTCATACGAGTCTGTGATTCATGTTATGTTGCTGTTGGCTAGTCATTTTGTGATTTTCTAGACTTTTTTTGGAGGGTAAAAACCTGACATACGATGAAAGAGTTTTTTATGGTTTTACCGTCGATGAAATACGCACAGCGGTCACTGTTGTCGTTGCCATTCCAGACTGCGCTATTAACTGAAAACACTTCGACCAAAAATCGAATCCAAGGCCTTTTACTTGGTAGTCGCGTTTGCGTCCACTCGACAGTTTTTCGTTTCGGTTTAAATAGAGACGTAAAAACATAACATAACATCACGCCTTTTATCCCCGAAGAGGTAGGCAGAGGTGCACATTACGGTACTTATTGCCACTGTACAATGTAACACACACAGATTTTTTTTTAAATCCAATAATACTATAATAGTGAAAAGTGGGTGTTACTTCTGTATGCATCTCTGTCTACTCCTGGTAACACACTAGTACCTTCTCTAGTGTTGCGGGTGTCCATGGGCGGCGCTGATTATTTACCATCTGGTGATCCGTCTGCTCGTAAGCCGACATAATATATCATGGGCTCGCTGCCATTGCAGCGGTAAGTCCCGTCTTTGAGGAGTGGCTTGGAAGACGCTACGGCGTCCTCACCTACCGCCTGACGCAGGTCCTCGCCGAACATGGGAGCTTCGGGAGGTACCTGTGCCTGATAGTGCGGTAGGAAACGCCCGGGTGTCATCACTGCGAGGACCGCCTTGAGGACACGGTGGAACACACAGTAGGGGAAGGCCCTGCGTGGGTTGAGCACCGCCGTGCCCTCAGGAATGTGATCGGTGACGGCGACATCTCGCGTCCGGCCCTAGTCCGGGTCATGATGCGGAGCGAGGAAGACTGGGATGCCATCTCCTCTTTTTGCGAAGCAGTCATGCTAGCTAAACAGGAGGCGGGACGCTTGAGGCAGCGAAGTGCTGCCTCCTCACAACCCAGCCGTCACGAAGGACACTCCGGGCGTCGGGGATCGCGGGACGATCTCCGGCCACCGTAAGCGCGGGCCTGCGGAGGGCGAGCATGGGTGGCTCCCCGTTCGACTAAAACCAGATCCGAGCGTGCGGCGTGTCGCGTTCCGCGCGCGCCTCAAAGAGCCATCAGACCACCACAGATGGGGCCCAATAGGGCCGATGCCGATACGGAGCCGCGGAGAACTTAACGGGTTGTCGAAGCTTCGACTAGAAGTGCAGGAGTAGGAACGGGGTGATTTTTAGTCAGTAAGAGTCTGACACTCCCTTCCACCTCACCCAGGCGGGAGAAGGCAATAGATGATTTTCACCACTTAAAAAAAAGCCGACATATCCCATAAAAAAACCCAGTAGTTTCTTGAGCGGGAAAAATATTATTCAATGACTAATCCAGCCTTGTGTGAGTGTCAGACTCTAACTGACTAAATACCACCCCATTGTACTCCTGATTTGAGCCGGAGCCCCGGTAATCCATTAAGTTGTCTGCAGCTAGTTGTCACGGGGCCTTTTACTTATTTAATGCAAACAATATAAATGTTCCACCCACACGCACGAAGCGCTTTGCATCAAGCTTTCTTGCACGTACTGCTAAGGAGTGGAATTCTTTGCTATAGTCTGTATTCCCTAAAGAGTACAACCTGGACGTCTTCAAGGCCTGAGTGAATAGGTTGCTTATGGGGCGACATGCTCCGTAGACCGCATCATCGCTTACCACCAGGCGAGATAGTGGTCAAACGTCGGCCCATCAAATATATAAGAAGAAACAAACAAACAATATTAATCAATAATATTAGCATAGATCAAATTGATACAGTAAGCGATTACGATTACGTCTAGATTTTATGACTTATCTTTTGGTAAATCACATCAGATTATGTGTTATTATATTGCTGTTATTTGTAGCTAGTTATATGTATAATCTCTGATAAATTTATAGTATATATTATGTGTACCATTCGCTCAGTTAGTAAGTAATTATATTTAGTGTTACCAATGGGTCCTCTTTTGATTATATTCACGCTCAGTGTTGTGGCAGGTAAGATTATTTTCAATTGTTTGTAACTAACCTCTCGAATCACTATTTAAATAAACCGCATCAATATCGGCTTTATTTAAATGGGCAAGCCGGACACCACCTCCCAAAACCACTGCAACTCCTCTGCACCATGATCTACAGTAGATATACAGTAGATGTACAACCATAAAAAGAGTTAAAGGTTCATGTTAACGGTATTAACTCACAGGGCTCTGGGATGAATATGGGCGTTCCTCAGGGTTCAATATTGGGTCCCTTTCTCTTTTTAGTCTATATAAATGATTTGCCATTTATATTTAAAAATGAACCAAGAATGGTGCGTTTTGCAGATGATACATCATTAATTTTTAAAATAGATCGACGTACAAATAATCTTGACGACGTAAACAGCTCCATTCTTCAAGACGTGCATAATTGGTTTACCATTAATAATTTAGCACTTAATGAGAAAAAAACAAAATGTATTAAATTCAGTTTACCAAACGTGCGTAGTAACAATTGTGATATTGTTTTGAACGATCAAAAGTTAGAATTTGTCGACGAAACAGGATTTTTAGGCATTACGTTAGACAATAGGCTACAATGGGCGTATAAAGGCGCTTTCGGGGAGATTAAGCTCAGCTGCTTTTGCATTTAGACAGATTAGACAGCTCACGGACGTAGATACAGCTAGGTTTGTCTATTTTAGTTATTTCCACAGCATTATGTCGTACGGCATTTTGTTTTGGGGTCGAGCTGTAGAAATAAAATCAATATTTATTCTACAAAAGCGGGCTATCCGAGCAATATATAACTTACGCCGTTGCGAATCGCTGAGAGAATTGTTTAAAACGATAAATATTTTAACGGTGCCCTGTCAATATATATATGAAAATATAATGTATGTAAGGAAAAATAGGCAATTGTTTGAAAAAAGAAGCGATAGATACAATTTTAATACTAGAGGCAAAAATAAGTTAGCTATACCGCAATTGAGACTGTCCAAAGTACAGAAATCCTTTATGGGGTTAGGTATTAAATGCTATAATAAAATACCAAATAGCATACTAGATCTCAATGAAAGTAAATTTGAAACATATATTAAGCGCGAATTATGTAATCAAGCCTACTACACACTGACAGATTATTTTGAAGATAAGAATGCTTGGCAGCATGTTGGTTCGGCTCCAATGGACAATACTCAAATGTAGTCAGTAGCTAAATTCCAATAGTAGGTAATATAATACATAATTTAATACTTTAATTCTAATGTAGACAATCTAGTTTCCTTATGGCATAGAGCATTTCTTTCTTTATTGAAACAAAGAGTTTCCTTTTTCTTGTATAGAAGCACTATTTCTATGGATTGTCAGTATGCAAATATGTGAGCACCATGTTAGACTTAAGATTTTTTTATTTTAGTAAGTTATTTAGCTGGCTTCCTGTTCTTCACCATTAAAGAGCAGCCGTAATTCTGACTTCTCGATAGAAGCTGTGTCGACGCCCGATATTCAAAATTGGATGTCAAACATTGAAGACCTGTTACATGAAGTTTGCACTATTGCCACCGAGGGCAAACTTAATTCGGAACAAAAACTAAAAATATCCAATCTGAGCAGAAAAATAAGTGCTCATGTCTCGTAAATGGCTGTCTTATACCAATCTCTTAAGCAGCAAGCCCGCATAGCCGTTAACACTATAGATGAGATGAGAGAAAATCTAAGACCTTGCGGAACAAATTTCGGACATCAAGCAGACTATCAAGGATTCAACATCAACGGGAAATGTTTCATTTGCTGACATGGTAAAGAAGGGAACTGACTTCGTGCGACCTACAAATTTGACTTCTATTGCAATTTACCCAGCAAATAAGTCTAAATCTAGCGATGAAACAAAATCTCTCGTGCAAAAAAATCATACGCCCTGACCAATTGCAGCTACATGTGCGTGGTGTTCGTAAAATCCATAATGGAGGCGTTATAATCAGCACTGAGTCTAAAGAAGATGCCAACAAAGTTAAAGAAGCACTAGCCCTATCATCGTCTGGACTCATTGCCGATGAAGCAAAGAAACGAAAACCAAGAATCACTGTCGTAGGAGTGCCGTCTACTTTATCCGATGCTGATGTCTTCAGGTGCATATTCGAGCAAAACATAGCTGATAAGGTCCAAGAGTTGACTATAGAGTCTTTCCTAACTACTATAAGTCACAAATCTGGCAGAAAAGACGCGCCGACTTGTAATTACATCATTGAAGTTCCGGCCAACATCCGTAAAGCGCTTATATCGCAAGAGAGACTCTATATAAACTGGACGTCTTGCCCTGTCAGAGACTTTACGTTAGTAACACGTTGTTATAAATGTCAGCTGTATGGCCACGCGGCAAAGACATGCCGGGGACTCAGTGTGTGGCCATTGGCACACAGGACACATGACATCCGCTTGCATGAAGAAAATCGACTTCCCTAAATGTTCAACATGCTCTCGCTTTAACAAGCCCAACAGTCACAAGACAGGAGACGCAGAGTGCCCAGCCAGGAAGATAGCCGAACACAGATATATCAATTCCATTGATTATGAAGGCACATAAAGTGACATACGCTAAGTCCAATTCGATTAGTCATTTCGTTTAGTTAGTTGTATAATTGCACATTAACAGGTTGGCTTACTCATCAATTTATTGCTATATATATATCTAGGTATGTATGTAATATTAAACAATGTCAGTAATTTTTCAAAATCAAAAATCAATTGCCTTCTAAACAACCTCACATTTTATGTGTATTCTGTCTGTGAATAATTTAGATTTAGTTTGTGTAAGTGACTAGTTCTTATTAACAGTTTAATGTTTATATGAAAGTGAGTTTGTTGGTTTGTCTTTCGATTTATTACAATGACATAACACTTAAGTTCGCCCTACTAAACCAACACAGGTATAAAGTATTCCAAACATGTAGGGGTGAGGTACGACCGAAAACCTTCGGAACCCCACCTCAATTTCAATAAACCAAACCTAATAACCTTACTTCTGAAAATGGTGTTAATATTTTATATATACTATAAATAAGTTGACTTATCATTAACATATTTTTAGAGCTACTATCGCCTGTGATGTGACACAGGAATATTCCTAGTATAGGCATATTTTTAAGATCTTGTCGTTTAATTAAGATATTTATGTACCTATGTTGACCAGTGTTATTATGAATAAAGATTTTATTATTATTATTACTTATTTTTTAGTTAAATTTCCGTGGTGCTTGACAATTGGGCCTCTCCCTGTTGTACAGTCTTTTCACGTTGGTTTTCTGTGAGGCCGTGGTATCACTCCGGTCGAGCCGGCTGATTCGTGGTTCGGCATGGCTCTCCCACACTTTGTTACATAAAAGTGATCAAATGTAAAATGTAATTTTCGCCCACAGCTCTGGCCGACGGTATTTTTATACGCCGTGATCCAGGCCCCCGCTACCAGCATGTACAAGATGGTCTAGGCACACTAAGCCTTGAGGAACTCTGTGCGCCACCGACTGACGACGCCAAATACAACCCAGACACACAGAATGTATATCACTTGTTTACTAGGTAAGTGGTTCTTTTTATGTTTAGCTGATGACGACAGAATAGAAGACATTTGACACTACCCCCACCATTTGGGCTCGCTGACATTGCAGCGGTAAGTCCTCTCTTTGAGAAGTGGCTTGAAAGACGCTATACCGTCCTCCCCAAACATGGGGGCTTCGGGAGGTAGATGTGTCTGATAGGTAAGGAGGAAACACCCGGGTGTCCTCACTGCGAGGACCGCCCTGAGAACGCGGTGGAACATACGGTGGGGCCCGTGCCCTGCCCATGCGTGCCCTGCATGAACTGAGTACCACCGTGCCCTCAGGGATGTGATCAGCGACGGCGACTTCTCGCTTCCGGCCCTAGTCCAGGCCATGATGCGGAGCGAGAGGGACTAGGGTGCCATCTCCTCCATTTACGAAGCAGTCATGTTAGCTAAGGAGGAGGCAGGGTGCTTGTGGCATAGGTCAGCATCCTCCTCCTCCCTCCCGCCTCACAAACCCTCAAAAAAACCCTTGCTTTTCCTGCGGGTGTCAGAGGAGTCCATCAAGGGAATACATATTGAACAGAGACACATTTCAGTGAGTGTGCGGGGGAATTGCAGAAGTTGAGCTCCCCTAGTCCTTTCCATTATCGTAACACAAGATAATCGGTGAAGCGTCACCCATTCATGGTAGATGTCCCAACGAGTCACACGAAGCGCTTCTCTGCAAGCTTCCTTGTGCGTACTGCTAAGGAATGGAACTACAAAACAATTGCAAATATAATTTATTTTGTTTATATGTATAAATGTTTAGATTGTGTAAGTAAAGGTGCTCCCTCACCGGGAGCATTCGCGTGTAATGTAACGTTACAGATCTGAGCATTACATTAGTGAAGGAGGAGAACCGAGCATTACAATGCGCACCTTGTAATGATACAATGTGTAATATCTTGATACAACTTGTAACATCAATGTCTGACATCTTGCTATGAAATGCTTAAATTCGAATCTATAATGTAACATTACACGCGCCTGCTGCCGGTGAGGGAGTGCCTTTAAATTTTGTAATTTTTCCGGCGGTTGGCGATATGGTCTCCAAGAGACATAGCCCTTCAAGGCTTTGACTGCCAATAAACTGTTGAAAGCAAATCCTCTGCTAACGTCGGTCACCGATGACCATGGCGTTTAATGTGTTAAATACACATCATATCAACAGCAAAGCAAAGCAAAGTCTCTTCTCACACGGATAAGGATTGAGCATTAATCACTACACTTGCTCAATGCGGGTTGGCGATTTCAAACTTATAATAAGAATTATAAGCCCAGGTTCCGTGACAGTAGCGCTTCACTTGTTTCACTTGTTTAACTTGTTTCACTAAATAATGTTAGAAAGTAAATACTAAATCGGAAAATGTCACATCCCTCTGGGCCACCTCAACACAATGTGTTAAATAAATTCATAAAATACTATTATTTTCTTCAGACGCAACCCATCAGTAAGCCAGCCCATAATTCCTGGCAACGAGCAGCTGCTGAAGGCATCCAACTTCGATCCTTCACATAGAACTGCCGTGCAAATCCATGGCTGGTATAGCAACGCTACCGACAACTTTAATGCTGTTCTACTTGCTGGTAAGTAATATTCAACTTTGTAATAAATCTTTTACCAGCGCCTTGCCTGTTTCAAATATCATTCAGTTTCTTTCAGCCGTTTTCGCGTGATTGAGTAACAAATATAGCACACAAACACATAAACATTCACATCTATCTATATCTATACATGTCGCGGAGAACCTAACGGGTTACCGGGGCCCCGACTCGACGTGCAGGGGAAAGAACGGGGTGGTTTTTAGTCAGTAAGAGTCTGACACTCCCTCCCGCCTCACCCAGGCAGGAGCAGTCATTCGATGATTGTCCCCCCTTAAAAAAAAATATCTATACCTATCTATATATGTATATAGTATAAAAATGAATCCCTTTTCCCTTGGTCACGGCATCACGCGTGAATGGCTGGACCGACTTCACTTATTCTTTTATTGTTGTATTTGTTGTTATTAGGAGAAGGTTCTTAAAAAGTCCTGAAAATCCTACGGGAACGGGAAAAAACGGAAAGCGCGTACGAATTCGCGGGCAGAAGCTGGTTTATAATATTATTAAGACTAGCTTCTTCCAGCGGATTCACCCACACTCCCGTGGGATAAAAAGTAGTGGTATTATTTCCACCGTACCTATTGATAAACTTCCTCAGTATTTTCAAAAAAGTGATTCAATATCTTCTTTCTCCAATATCCTCGATCATTAAATCCCCACAAGGGCGGCAACGCTTTTGTCTATTAGCGGCATTGATTGCTTACCATCACATGATCTGTAATTTTATTATCCTTTAATTAAACTGCCCTGATACTTATGCAACCTACTCCTTCTCCAGCTTTCTTAGCGGCAGAAGACATGAACGTGATCGTGGTAGACTGGAGCGCCGGTGGCAACACTTACAACTATGGCAAAGCCATCAGAAATACTGTCCTATCAGGTAATAAACCCATTCACTTAAAAAGTCCTTACTTCGTACAGTGTAGAGATGGTATAAATAATCTGTCAATCGTTTTATAAAAAAAAATGTCCTATAACTGCGACCAATCACTGCTGTTCAAATACTCAAATCTTCGCAAAACACAATGACTGTATTTTCTACTGTATCTGTAGAGGTTAAGTATAGTTCTGTCTACAAGTTACTTGTAAAATGACACAGACGGCACGATGTTAAAGTACAACTTTGAGTACTTACCTAACCGTTCAGTGTAAGGGACGGGCAGCAGCATCTTCTAAAATATCCGATATCGAAGCAAAGATAAGGCATTTCTGAAAGTTAAAATATGTATTTAGTGTTGATCAATCTTTCAGCTATATGTATGTTTGTTCCAAAGTGTAGATTCCTATGTCAAAGAACGAGCAATAAACTCCATAGATTACTCTTCTTCAATCAGGTTCACATGACTGACAAGCATGAAAGATATCAGACAAAAAAATAATATAAGACTGTTTAAAACTAAGTTAATGAAATATTTCTATAAAATAATTGAGTAGTTATACTGTTATTATTTATGTATTTATTATTTCTTCTTCACAAAAGATAGATAAAATTAACTGGACATGTTAATGCTCTTGCATTAACATGTCCAGTAAATTTTTGCTAATACTTTGAGCTTCGCGCAGCGATTTCCTGTTTCACAGTATTGAATTTTAAGTCATGCAGGATGTACATATTTATTGTTCATGCATTTTGGTATATTGAACATAGGTCACATAGTTTTGGTCTGAAATCTTTCTACCTCTAGGATCTCTATGTTACTGTTACTTAATGTTCCCCAGAGTTCTATTCCGTATGTCCAAATTGGCTTCAAGATAGTATTGTAGACTGCAATTTTGCTTCCATTTGTTAATTGAGATTGTTTCCAATCAACCAGTGCATGGTACGATATCTTGTATCTAATGCTTTTCTTTTATTCCAAATGTGCTTTTGCCAAGTTAGCCTCCTATCGAGATGCATGCCTAAGTATTTTGCGATAGTATCGTGTGGGATTTGATCTCCGTTAAATGTTATTGGTGGACAGTCGGCTTTTCTTAAAGTGAAGGTAACGTGCACTGATTTGTTTTGATTGGCTTTTATTCTCCATATCTTAAGCCATTCCTCTATCTTAAAAATATGTTTTTGAATATTTGCCCAAGCAATTGCCGAATTGGAGTTTACAGACATTATGGCAGTATCATCAGCGTAAGTGGCGATAGATGTTTTGTCATCGATGGGGATATCAGCAGTGTAGATAAGATATAATACGGGCCCCAAGATGCTTCCCTGTGGTACCCCGGACCTGACCTGATTTCGAATAGATCAGACATAGTAGTGTTCAGTTTGACTTCGTAGCATCTTTTGTCTAGGTAGCTTTTTAGTATTAAGAAGAAGGAATGAGGCAGTTGTTTTTTTGATCTTGAAGAGAAGGCCATTATGCCAGACTCTGTCAAAAGCTTGGCTTATATCTGAAAACACCGCCGAGCAGTATTCTTTGTCTTCTAGCACCTGGGTGATGGTATTTACCAGTCTATGAACAACCAATTTCCCAACCAATGGGAGAAGACTAATTGGTCTGTAAGATGAAACTTCTTCTGGCTGCTTTCCAGGTTTGAGGATCCTGACCACTTGGGCAAGTTTCCACTGAAACGGATAATGGGAGAGCCTCAAGCATGAGTTGAAGAGCACGACAATAGACATGATTCCCTTTTTCGGAAGGTTGTTTAGTAGCGCCGAATCCAATAAATCATATCCCGGAGCTTTATGAGCTGGTAGTGATTTTATCTCCTGGCGTATTTCGGCAGGACTGACTGCTTTCAGTGGAAGTGACAGTTGGTTCGGCGACTGTAAGTAATCTGATATGTCGCTGTCATTATCTGGATTGGAGCAGGACAGTGGTGTAAATACTTTTTCTAGGTGTTCGGCAAAGGCCATAGCTTTTTCGGGCTTCAGTGTTCCGGTGTTTTTATAGTTGTATCTACTGTAGATCTTGGATTACCGGAGTTGCAGCGGTTCTGGGAGGTTGGGGCGGGCTCCCATAAAAAAAGAATAAAAAACCCTTTCTTTAGAGAGCTGCTCTTCTTTAGCAGTGGAAGTCTTCCGGGTGATCATAATAAGTGATTTTATGTCTCTTCAGGTGCTGGTGTGGCTCGCTTCATCTCCTGGATTAACAACGTGACTGGCGCCGATGTGGCGAACTACCATGTAGCAGGGTACAGCCTGGGTGGTCAACAAGCTGGTATTGTGGGAAGAAACCTCGATGGCAAAGTTGGATATGTCACCGGTAAGATTAAATTAATGTATTTATAGCAACTGGCTGATTTGCGATTTCCCGACGGAACAACTGTTTGTGTGATCCACAGATTGTTGTTCCGAGTCTGTGTGTCATGTGTATGTGAACTTGTATGTTTGTAAACGCACCCACGACACAGGAGAAAATCCTAGTGTGGGGTAACGTTGTTAAAAAATCGACTTAAAAAAAGAAGGAGGAGTTTGACCTGTGTGTGTGTATGCATGTTTGTGTGCCATTATCTTGCGATTGGCTGGACCGATTTTGATGCGGTTTTCACAAAAGTGTTTCTTACACTTGGTAGAAGGCTTTAGTAAATTAATTAATCAACTTGAAAAAAGAACAGGTTAAAGTTTTTCATTTTTTTAAACGTAGTTATTAAAAGAGTTATTAATTCCTCGACAGGTGTATAGTAGGCAGAAGTACAGGTGAGCAATGTAACACCAAAGTTTCACTAGTTATTTTATGAGTGCCATGTAGCTAATTTTAGCTTTCGATCTAAGTAAAAATCTACATACTAAGAAAAAAATATGACATCACGTCTTTTATCCTCGAAGGGGTAGGCTGAGGTGCACATAAACATATATACGGCACTTAATGGTACTGTACAATGTAACACTCACTTTTTACTATTTATGTTATGACTCCCATGTAATAGGGGGTGAGCCTATTGCCATATACCGGGCACAGTTCCACACTCCGTGCTACTACTGAGAATTAAATAAAAAAACCAGTAAATCTTTGCCCGACCCGGAAATCGAACCCAAGACTCCTTGCCCGACAGTCGCACTTGCAAACTCGGCCAACAAGGGAGTCGGCACATATTTTTTTTTATGGGCGGAAAATCATCGAATGACTGCTCCCGCCTGGGTGAGGCGCGAGGGAGTGTCAGACTCTTACTGACTAAAAACCACTCCGTTCCTTCTCCTGCACGTCGAGCCGGTGCCCCGGTAACCCGTTAGGTTCTCCGCGAAGTCGGCACCTATGGGGCGACTCGACCTCGAGTAACGCTTTTACTTAGCCCAATGTGTGAAGGATCTCAATCCCCAAAAGCAAGCAACTTGTAACTCTGTGCAGCCTTCATGGGCGACGCTGATTGCTTACCATCAGGGGATCCGTCGGCCCGTTTGCCTCTCTCTTCCATAATAAAATAGATATCTTGATATTACAAACTCTGTTCTCTTTCACACCGTCTGATCTTTTCTTTCAGGGTTGGATCCCGCGGGCCCCTGTTGGGTTGGATACGACCACACCTTCAAAGCATCAGATGCAATCTATACCGAAGTTATACATACCAGCATAAGAGTGGTTGGGTACCTGGAGCCCCTCGCTGATGTGGACTTCTACCCGAATGGTGGAGATAACATGCCTGGCTGTGGTGTGTCTGATGATTGCAACCATGACAGGTTGGTACAAAGCCTGAAGTATTTATAGATAGCTTTTACCCGCGGCTTCGCTCGCGTAACTAAAGAATAAAAAGTAGCCTATGTGACATATACCGATACACACAGCGCCATCTATACCAATACTTTTGTTTTTCCTCGGAAATATCAATTTTTTTTCCGGGTTAAAAAGTACCCTATTATTTAATCCGGACTTCTAACTTTACGTATGCAAAAATTCAAAGCAATCGGTTGAGTAGTTACGGCGTGAAGGTGGAACAAACAAACAAACAAACAAACTCACTTTCAGATTTATAATATTATATAGTAAGGATATAGATTTTCAACTGTAAGGCTTCTGTGATACACACATACATACATAACTTCACGCCTGTCTACCATGGGAGTAGGCAGAGACTATGGAACGCCAATTGTTACGATTCCTACATACCTCTTTCGCTTCATCAACAGTCATCAGTCTTTTCATGCATGCTCGTCGGTTAAGTGTAGGTACTTTTAATTTGGCCCTTCTTTAATATATCGCCAATCTGGTCAGTATATGTCCGTCTAGGGCGCCCTCTACCGACGGCCCCATTCATATCGGCTCTGTATACTTCTTGTGTAATAAAGTTGGAAATGTTTTGTTTTGGGCTTAGAAATAGATTTTTGTCGCAATCTTCGTTGAGACGTAAGTAGTGTAAAGAACATTTTCGGTTCGTTTCGAATCCTGAGTGAAGTTATGTTGAAGTAGAAGGAAGCCTGTATAAGCCAGATACATGGAGAGAAGGTAAAAAGGGGTTTCGGGTTGGATTTCCGGGTTGGGCAAATTATTATTGAGTTTAGAAAAAAATCTCAGTAGCACGGAATCTGGAATTGTGACTGATGTATGGCAATAGACTCACCCCCTATTACATGGGACTCATAATATAAATAGTGAAAAGTGGGTGTTACATATACATTGTACACTGGCATTAAGTGCCGTAATGTGCACCTCTGCCTACTTTTTCGGGGATAAATGGCATGATGTTATGTTATGTTTATTTCTTGGGACTTCCAGATACTGTAAGAAGTAGGTTGATACCCACTTTTCACTATTCATGTTATTAGTCTCATATAATAGGGGGTGAGAGTATTATCATGCACCGAACGCATTTCCAGACTCCTTGCTACTACAGTACGGTAGTTGACAGTTTGTCAAATTCAATACTTTATGGCTTTTATTGGGGTAACCGGGGCTCCGGCTCGAAGTGCAGGAGAAGGAACGGGGTGGTTTTAGTCAGTAAGAGTCTGACATTCCCTCCCGCCTCACCCAGGCGGGAGCAGTCATTCGATGATTTTACCTCCTTAAAAAAATGGCTTTTATTGAAATGTCAAAAACGATACTTTTCTATGAATTTTGTATTGGATCGCAACGTCTACGTCAAACAGCATACTTGTTTCCTTAAAATTAGCTAGAAAAAAAACCCAAATGTAAGTAAATTGGGATGATGACAGAGTATGAAAATTAAAAATCTAATTAGTCCGTAAGTTAGGTAATGAAAAATATTACAGACATATTTTTTATTTTGTCGTATAATAAAACAATACTTAGATAAAACGAATAAAAGTATAGGAGTGGGAGCTAAAACGTCATTTCTACATATAAAATGTACACAGAAGTGACGTCACGCGACATTTCAAATCAATATATCGTCGAAAGTGTTAGTTTCTGTAAGAAAATAAAAATTAGGCGTCTACCCTATTGTCAAATCAATGGATGAGAGTATGATATTTTTGAATTATTTATTGTATTGAAAAGTTGAATTTATTTTAAACATAGGAAACTAGATTAGACACCAAATTAGAAATTTTCGAAAAGACAACTATAACACTTGTTTAATTAGGGTCGAACCCGAGACACCTTGCTAGTAGGCGCTCTTGATGATATAATGTTAATTATATTATTATGTTTTCGGCTTTCTCACGTAACTGTTTGACGAGGAACTCAACGTATGTCCCACAAAAGTTTTAATATAAAGGTAATTTATTTGTTACATTTCAGAAGCTACCATTACTTCGCTGAATCTATCCGTGATGGAGGTTTCACAGGAGTCAAGTGTGAGAGCTACGAACACGCACTTGTAGGAGACTGCCATCTACCGGAGACACTGAATATGGGTGGTATCGAACCTAAGACTGGGTTAGTATCCTTACATATACCAGACTCCAACATCTTTTTATTAAAAACGATTTCAATACACAAAATCTTGTTGCAAACTATGATACTTTTCTGAATACCACATCAAAAATGGTTCAGTCGATTGAAAGTTGGTTAAAAAAGAACCGACATTTACTTACTATCCATCGAAACCGAATTCAAAAACCAAAATTCTCATTTATCAGACCCTTAAGTCGAATCTTATAGAGGACAGTTTGCGACTAATCAATAATTAATGAGATCCTTATGTTATCTACTTATTTAGTCGACTTTAAAAAATATGAGACTCTCAAGAGCTCTTTGTAATAAGAACTATATTTTATTATTCTCAGAAAATCTGGCGTGTTCTACTTGGAAACCAACGCCGGAGCGCCCTTCTCAAAAGGCTAAACAACCAAAGACTAGAAATAAAGAAAATCTTTGTATAATAACAATAAAATAAAAATACAAAAATGACAAAAAATCTCATTTTTATTTACAATAATAATAATAATAACACATAACAAAGTATGTACACAAAAAAATTAAATAAAACAAAAAGTTACAACTAACATTTTTACAATTGTGCCGACGATTTTCTTGTGCCGACCCGATATCTAGTTGTTATTGTTGATCGAAGCTAGTAATTATTTAAATACTCCCATTAGAAAGAAAAAGGTTTGGCTGGGGTAACGTTACCCCAGCAGGAAATGTTTTTGTGAAATAATTAAAAAACTATAAGCGCAACAAATTTTAAAATGTGCGCAACAATTACAGAAGCTTCACAACTAATTATCTATAAGATTCAAATGACCATTTTCGACAACATCTGGCCTGGGTAACGCACACAAACAGTTACGTTAGTTAGCCGAAAACATAATGAGAAGACCATAGACTAGAAACTGTCGAATAAATCCTTATTTTTTCTTCTTTCAAGATAATTCTAAACTAAAAAGTACCCACTTAGCCCACCACAAGCATCTTGTACGGAATAAGTCGTGGATTTGATAACTGAATTAATAATTGTAATCAGTTGTTTCAGATTTGGGTGTCATGTTTTTTATGGTATTTTTTTTTTTTTTTTTTTAAGGGGCGAAAATCATCGAATGACTTCCCCCGCCTGGGTGAGGCGGGAGGGAGTGTCAGACTCTTACTGACTAAAAACCACCCCGTTCCTTCTCCTGCACGTCGAGCCGGAGCCCCGGTTACCCGTTAGGTTCTCCGCGACTCCGAATCGGCATCGGCCCTATTGGGCCCCATCTGTGGTGGTCTGATGGCTCTTTGAGGCGCGCGCGGAACGCGACGCGCCGTACGCTCGGGTCTGTTTCTGGTCGGACGGGGAGCCACCCATGCTCGCCGTCCGCAGGCCCGCGCTTACGGTGGCCGGAGATCGTCCCGCGATCCCCGACGCCCGGTGTGTCCTTCGCGATGGCTGGGTTGCGAGGAGGCAGCGCTTCGCTGCCTCACGCGTCCCGCCTCCTCCTTAGCTAGCATGACTGCTTCGCAAAAGGAGGAGACGGCATCCCAATCCCCCTCGCTCCGCATCATGGCCTGCACTAGGCCCGGACGCGAGAGGTCGCCATCGCCGATCACTTCCCTGAGGACACGGCGGTGCTCAGCCCACGAAGGGCATTCTCCCACCGTGTGTTCCACCGTGTCCTCAGGGCGGTCCTCGCAGTGATGACACCCGGGCGTTTCCTCCCGCCCCATCAGACACAGGTACCTCCCGAAACTGCCATGTCCGGTGAGGACCTGCGTCAGGCGGTAGGTGAGGACGCCGTAGCGTCTCTCAAGCCACTCCTCAAAGAGGGGACTTACCGCTGCGATGGCAGCGAGCCCAATGTTTTTATGGTATAAGCTGGTAAACGAGTTGACGGATCACCTGATGGTAAGCAATCGGCGTCGCCCATAGACACCCAGAACACAAGAAGCGTTACAAATGCGTTACCGGCCTTTTAGTGACTAGAAAATGGGGATTGTCTAAAAAAATTGATTCAAGAAATTTATTCTACGTCATCTTAGGACTTATCGTAGGTAATTCCTTTATTCATATTTCTTTAAAAATATCAGTAATGGTACCGTATTTCAGGGTGTCGTATAGATAAAACTATTAATAAACCTTATTTCCCGAAATGGTTTTTCAATAAGCCTGAATAAAAAAAAATAGACAATCCCCATTGAGGATTTAGGGATTGGGAAGATTGGGAAGTGCGGGTAATTGGACCTTCGGTGCGGTGACGTTACTCACACGACGAAACAACAAGCGTTGTTTCACTATGATTTTCTGCTCGTTGGTGATATCACTCCAGTCGACCCGACCCGTTCGTGCCGAAGCATGACTCTCCCACACTTGTTTAAACTGTCAAACACCAAGCGGTCACCGGTGACCGCGACCTATTGTTCTTTAATTGTGTCTATAAAACCGGTACTCGACGAGTTAAAATAAAAACACCCATGACATAGGACAATTTTTTTTAAGAAGTCAGTTTAAAAGAAAACACTAATTTATGGATAGGTGCACCTGTTTATAACTATCTCTTCAGAAAACTGACAATAAAATAAAACACAAACATTAGTCATAAACTTAATATTTAATTTGGTCTCAAGACTGATTTTCCTTAAATACCTACAAAAAACTTAAACAAACTGGTATTGGTCTTAAAAACTACTTTTATGATGTAGTAAAGATGTCTAATGAAACGAGAGTCATCGAGCAGACGGATCTCCTGGGTGCTTACTCTTGAAACCAATCTCAATCCATTACAATCTCAATAATCATACAATGTCAACACTATACAACCACAATCGTAGCTGTTGAAATAGCATTCAGAGTACGGAATATAAAGCCAAACTCAATACCATTTACTTCATTCAATATCCACGCAAAACGGATGCAGTGGACGCTAATGTTCCAACTCAAGAGTACGAAATTTCACAATACCAATGTCGATCTATCGGAATTGGATTTGTGAGCGCCCTTAACCTCTCGCGCGCCTCTCGTACACACGGGTAAATATTTTAATAGAAAAGCGAATTAACTATTCTGTTCAATCAAATAAAGGACGGGTTGCAAACTTGAAAATATACGTCACTGAAAAAATGTCCAATCGGTGCGCGTTTCTCGTACACCCGTGTGTACAATTGCGCGATGGGCACTCAACTCTCTCGTACACCCGTGTGTACGAGAAACACGCGAGAGGTTAAGCATTATATTACGCCTACGCGCGATATTAACTGGAAGGATTCAGTGCGGGAGCAGTCGCCAACTATTGTATTGGTCAGACATTAAACAATAAGGTAACATTGAGTGTGTTCATTTATCACCAGAGTAATACCTAAAGATTCAAGAGTAAGTCCCCTGATGGTAAGCAGAGCAATCAGCATCGCCCTTGTGTTTACTAGGCAACATTTGACACACGACATGTTGCACTAAATGTTGCTAAACATGTTCAACTTTTGTCTAACAATGTTGTCTGTCTACGTATGAGTTTACTGCAACACACGGGTCGCATGTTGCGAACGGCAGAGGCAACTACTGCCGTCTACACGTGTAACCGTCGACCTGACGACGGCAGTCGACTTATAGTTTATCAATTGGGTACTTGCCAACGAGTCAAATTCAATACTTGTTTCGAACTGTCAAAAACGACTATATATACTTTGCCACAAACTATTGTATGTCTAACATGGTGGAGCAGTGCCAGAACACAACAACCTTTAGAACAACCTTTGTAACCACTGCCTCACAATAGACTTTGACAGTTTTTTATGAATTTTGTATTGTGACGTCACGGTTTTTAGCGTCAAACAGAAAACTTATTTATTCAAAAAATTGCTGGAAAAATACCTACTCAAATTGAGTTGGTTACAAAATCAATTAATGAAAGTGGTTATTTTTTAATATTTTATTGTATTGAATAGTCGAATTAATTTATTTTTGATTAAGAAAAGTACCCAATAGTAACGTTTTTCGAATTTGAAATGTCGAACTGTAGTTATCTCTGCCGTTGGCAACATGACGCTCAAGTGTAAGAGCTCCTTGGCAACGTTTTGCCAGGGCAAGTATACATTAGGTCTAGTATTCCCTCTAGAAAACATACTTTTTTTTGTATAAGCCGGTAAACGAGCACACGGATCACCTGATGGTAAGCAATCTGTGTCGACCTCGGACTAGGGCCAACACAAGCGGCTTTACAAGTGTGTTACCGGCCTATTAGTGTTAAATTATATCAGGAACTTATACAATTACGCTTTCAAAGCTAATTTTAACGAAATACATTTTTTAAAGAAATCTCTTCTTAAATCACAATATACTGATTTCATTTATAAACTTTGACGTATTTTTTTTATATTATAACTTTCGTGGGACATAGTAAATTAATTATTATGTTTTCGGTTTACTCACGTAGTAATTTGACGAGGAACTCGACTAGTTTCAAGCCATGATAGAGGCTCATATTCTCTCGAATCTGCTACAGTGCTGGCCAAGCGCGCCCTCTGCCGTGATTCAGCTCGTAGCAGAGTCAAGTAGCCAGTAACAGCGCGACAATCGCCGCGTCGCATCGCAGAATGCTGCTCATGAAGAGCCTCCAGCATGGCTTGAAACTAGTCGAGTTTCTCTTCAAACAGTTACGTGAGTAAGCCGAAAACAAAATAATTAACTTTAGCGTAGCATTTTAACAAAATACAAGATCAAAAATCACGAGAAATATCTTTGAAAAAGTGGAAACTATTTCTACTAATATAATAAATTCTGAAATGAGATATTTGATCACAGTTTTAAACTTGAACTGGTAAAATTATTTTTTTATATTGTCAGACGAAGGTATTGTACGAACGGCGAAACAACGCAAGCGATGTTTCACTATGGCTTTCTCTTTCTGCTCGGCTGTGGTATCACTCCGGTCGAGCCAACACAGCGGTGCCAAAGTATGGCGGGCTCAAACGAAAATGGATGATGAAATCACACTAGTTTTCTTTAATACAGGTGTAGAACGAACGCTCCCGACAAAGCGCTGACATGTTATGCTCAAAAACAAGTTCTATTGTCATTAAAATAAGAAATGAAATGATTATTTTTAATTAATAATCTTCCCCTAATTTATTCATACAAAAGTAGTCTCTAAAGATCGGAAATAAGGTCTATAATGTAGTTAGTGGATAGCGGTTACCGGTGACCGCTTGGGATAAATGGGTTTCAATACTTATAATAAATCTGTAAAGAGATCAATTCTGTACATTAAATATATTTCTAAAATAATTATCAGGGGGTGATTAGAGATCGATTGTAATGCCAAAAATCCAATCAGAAAAAATTTTGTGTTTGTTTTTTTTTATGGTATAAGCCAGTAATCGAGCAGACGGATCACCTGATGGTAAGCAATCGGCGTCGCCCATTGACACCTGGAACACCAGAGGCGTTACTAGTGCGTTACCGGCCATTTGGGGATTAGGAGTTTAAGGATCGTTGGGGATTCAGGGATTGGGGAGATTGGAGAAGGGGAGAGTAATTGGGCTTCCGGTAACATCACTCACACGACGAAACACAACGCAAGCGTTGCTTCACGTCGGTTTTCTGTGAGGCCGTGGTATCACTCCGGTCGAGCCGGCCCATTCTGTATGTCTGTATGTTCCTTATAGAAACAAGATCTACTCGACGTGTTTTAACGAAACATGAGACAATTATTCTTGATACTCCTGGGGATGTTATAGTATACTTTCCATCACGCTGCAATCAATAGGAGCAGAATAGTGAAGGGAAATGTTGGGTAAACGTGAGAAGTTACGCTATTTTTTAAGCATTTTACCCCCTTTTTTATTAAGGGGGGAAAATCATCGAATGACTGCTCCCGCCTGGGTGAGGCGGGAGGGAGTGTCAGACTCTTACTGACTAAAAATCACCCCGTTCCTTCTCCTGCACGTCGAGCCGGAGCATTTTACCCCTAGGAGCGCGGGCAAAGCCGCTGGGAGAAGTTAGTATGTAGCAACAGTTGTAATCAACTGCTGAAGGCTGATGTTGCACAAATGACACGAAAACAGAAACTATTAAAATTGTATAAATAATTTCTTTTTTGTCAGCCGTTTTTCGGGAGAGTTCGTTTACATCCTGTATATAAGGTGTTGTTTTAAAGCCGCGTCATTTTCTAGGAGGTAACTCGGCTATCGATTCTGAGTCCGAATCAATAAAAAATTGTAGGTAAATATTTTTCATTTTTCTATAAATTACGGAAATCCGTGAGTGCGAACTAGACGCCGTCTTGTAACTAGCTTTATAACGCTGCTCAACACACACAAACTCAAATACGTAATTGATATTATTCCTAACTCCATAAACTCCAATAAGAAACATTGCTGTCGCTTATTCTGAAATACTGTCGAACTTAAACTATTTATTTTAGCCGTATTTTTAACTATTGGCCCGAAACTTTCTCTTACATTGAACCTTTATGACTTCTGTGACATGCCCCCGAGAAATGACACGGTTTTAAAACTACATCTTGTATTTATGATAAAACAATAAGACCAGCAATGTTTTACCAATATGAAAACACAAACATTTTAGGAATGTGATTGTGTTCAGGATCGGATTTTCGATACATTATTTTTATTAATACCAATCCTGTATAACAGGACAAGTCGCGATCAATCAAGTGTTTCAAATCTGTCCAGTTTTCATTTTAAAGCCTAGGATATAAGGTGTCGCCAGCGACGTTGGGTGGAGTAGCGCGACGTTGCCGGACTTTGGTCGACATGTCTGGCAACATCAACGTCGCTGTGGATAAGTTGCGCATTGTCGCCGTATCCGTCGGGCGACATCGGCCGGCTTTGCTGGACAAGTCGCTGATAATGTCGTTGAACATTTGTCCCTTAGTGTATCCTTGGCTTAACTCTTTTGAGTACCGTCATTATAGACACAATTAATGAACAATAGGTTGCGGTCACCGGTGTCCTCGCGGTGTTTGACAGTTTAAAGCTTATTTAATACAATAATAAGCGTTTCCTCTTTATAATATCAGTAGATTGGTTTCCACAAGCCTCGATGCAAAACGATTTTTAATTTAATTAGCTAGATAAATCGATAAAAATCCTATTACAATCTCTCTAAACGACAAAATTGACACACTACCTACCTGTATCGAAAATCCGATCCCAAACATCCTGTACATACAACAAACAATTTCAAAAAAGAATCCTAATTAACTTTTACCCTCTTGCAATCACTTTCGACATCTTCATCTTCTCTAACCCTCTTGATATCAACCCTGTTTTCTTTACCCTTCGACTTCTTACCCACGCCTTTACCCTTTGACCCCTTAGGGTAGTATTCTTCAATTTTGTGGCTATCTTCGCCGTTTAGAGGCTCTAGCTCCAGGCTCTCGTCTAAAACGTTGTTCTTAGGTTGTTCTATTAAGATCTCTTCTTCTGAATCTGAGTAGATTACATTAGGCTTCTCCTTTGGTTTTGAGTTTGATGAGGTAGCTGTAATCAAAATTGGGGTGTTTAATTAGTTTCATATTGTTAGTTTCAATTACAATAGTTAAAAGATATTTTTTTGAGGAAGAAAATCATTATAATTGTCGGAGAGCCATGCTAGGCTGGAATGGGCCGGCTCGACTGGAATTATACCACGGCCAGAAACCCGACGTGGAACAATGCTTGCGTTGTTTCACGTCGTGTGAGTGAGGTTACCGAAAGCCCAAACCCCAATCTCCCCAATCCCTGAAACCTCAACAATCATCAAATTCACAATCCCCAAGAGGCCGGTAACGCACTTGTCACGCTTTTAGTGTTCCTGGTGTCCATGGGCGACGCCGATTGCTTACCATCAGGTGATCCGTAGGCTCGTTTCCCGGCTTATTCCATAAAAAAATCTAATGATTCTCCTCGCCTAGGGTGTTTGGAGAGTATCAGACTCTTACTGACTAAACACAAACACCACAGTTTTTACTCCTGCTTAAATACCAGAACCATTATACTTATGTAGTAGTCTGCAGCCCCAAGTACATTTTATGGGGATTTTTAACCCTTCAAATAAGTATTCTCAAATAGGCTCACCGCCTATTACATGGGACTCATAACATAAATAGTAAAAGTGGGTGTTACATCGTACAGTGGGATACGTGCTTGAATGTGCACCTCTGCCCACCCCTTCGGGGATAAAAGGCGTGATGTTATGATGATGATCAAATAAGTAATCATGATGATATAACATAACAAATATTTTAAATTGTCGCATCGGTGGAGTAGTCATAAATGCGATAGACGAACAAGAGATCTTTGGGAGGATCAGACAATGTATGTTTCGATTTAAAATCTTCAATATAATAATATGAATAACACAGATTGTAGACTTAGCATAGTCTTCTATCACATTGAAAGTGTTAGATGCAGGTCGCTTCCGACCTCGCGATGTATAGTCATTGGGGGAGGACTGTGGGGTGCGCGTTACCCAGGCCAGATGTTGACGAAAATGGTAATTTGAATCTTAAGATAATTAGTTGTGAACCTTCTGTAATTGTTGCGCACATTTTTAAATTTGTTGCGTTTATTCTAATTCCTTAGAAGCCATGTACAAAATATGATAAGAATCCGCTTAACCATTTCAAAGATCTAGCAAAACCAAAAACGTTACCCCAGCAGAATCTCGAATAACTTCGCAACCGATGAAAGAACAAATACAAAATAAGGCACAGCATTTATTTCATCTAGAAAACTAATTTTATAGCTAGTAATTACTTCAACACTAGCTTTTACCCGCGGCTTCGCTCGCATCACAAAAGAATAAAAGTAGCCTATGGGACATATACCAATACACACAGCGCCATCTATCCAATTCTTTTATTTTCACTCGGGAATATCAAAATTTTCCGGGATAAAAATTACCCCATTATTTAATCCAGACTTCTAACTTTACGTCTACAAAAATTCAAAGCAATCGGTTTAGAAGTTACGGCCTGAAAGCGGAACAAACAAACAAACTCACTTTCCCATTTATAATAGTAAGGATTCCAATTAGGTCTGGCTGGGGTAACGTTACCCCAGCAGGAAATGTTTTTGTGAAATAATTAAAAAACTATAAGCGCAACAAATTTAAAAATGTGCGCAACAATTACAGAAGCCTCACAACTAATTATCTATAAGATTCAAATGACCATTTTCGACAACATCTGGCCTGGGTAACGCACACGACTGTGGGAGGCAGTGGATAGTACGTGGCTGTATACACATATGTGCGAGATGATGATAAAATATGCCGACTATGTAAGAAATACCAATCTTACCAGTCTCATCATCGACATCCACCTCCTCATCTCGAGGGTCTTCCTTGCTGATGAAGAACTTGGTGATTGGTTTCTGCCATTTCGGAGTCTCTCGTGGACATACTGGGTTCCCCCCAGAGTAACCTTTGGAGCCTTTCTCTGAACTGGCTGTGGACCGAAATGGTCACTTGGTTAGATTGTGAACACTGTGTTATTGATTGGTTTCATTTCGGGGTCTGTGTGTTATTGGTTGACTTTTTTTTGGGTTTTTGAGAATTTATAGTGTTTGAATGGAGTTTGGAATTGTACTAGATGTATTGGAATAGGATAGGATATATTAAACAGAAGATGTTGTAGTTGCTCCGAGCTATTACAACATATTCCAAGACGTTCACTTCTCATGCATAATGATGCAGATTTAAAACCTACCAACGGCAAGTACCAATGTGAGTTTTTCCCAGTCATATGTACTTTCTAAGATTATTTAGACACCACTGACAAACGCTAAAGGAAAACATCGTGAGGAAATCTAGGCATAAAATGTCTAATTATAAGTATGAAATTGCCAACCCGCATTGAGCAAGTGTGGTGATGAATGCTCAAACCTTCTCCGTATGAAAAATGGCCTTTGGTCAGCAGTGGGCACTTATAGGTTGTTGATAATGATGGGAATAGGCTCGTCCCCTAGTAAAGAGGACTCCCAACATAACTGGTGAAAAGTTGATGTTGTGTGGCTGCCCTGCCTAAGGTGTCATTTTTTTATTAGCCATGATATCGCACCCTAAGAACGATAGTGACTCAACTCAAAATTGCCAATTCTTGGGAATAAGCGAAAATGTGTCCGTCGTATTAAGCATTTTCTGTTCATTTTACAATAACACTAAAACATGGTAACAAAAGTTATTAATTTCTTTTGAAATATACATATTTGTCTTGTCATGACAACTCACGGTGCAACACTGATTTCGTCACTTTGATTCGGGCGCGGGGGGAGGGAACGGTTGAGGGACAAAGAGACCGAAATATATCTCTATCCTTTTCTTACCTTTATTGGCCAGTTTACGAATTTATGTATGATGGAGTATACTTTTTTGAGTCATTCTGTATACTTAACTCATTTAACCAAAATTTTGAAATCGGTCACTTTCGTTCTCAGCGTGCGATATATTATACATAATTTTAAATATATCAAATTTGTTTCATAATTAATAAAACAAATTCGGTGTATGGCAATAGGCCCACTCCGTATTACATGGGACTCACAACATAAATAGTGAAAAGTGGGTTTTACATTATACCATGGCATTAAACTGTCAAACACCAAGCGGTCACCGGTGACCGCAACCTATTGTTCTTTAATTGTGTCTATAAATACGGTACTTGACGAGTTAAGTTCCGTAATGTGCACCTCAGTTTAGGTACCCCTTCAGGGATATAAGACATGATGTTATGTTATGTTATGCCAAATTTGTTTTGTTTTAGTTAATTTGTTTGAATTGTCATAATTTTCCTGTATTTTATTTAATAATCCTGTTTACTATTCTTATTTCTATTATTGGCTCTACTTTCTGATAAAAATCTCATCGTTAAGTTACTGTGCATGTTGTGACACCTTAAAACGTGTGCATTTAAAACATGTTATGATGTAAGTGCTTAGATGTAATACCTAATGTAACAACTACGGGTTGTCCAAATCTGAATATATAATAAAAAAATATTTATTTATTATTTTAAATAAATAGTTTAACATGCACACATTTAAGCATACTGCTAAGGAGTGGAATTCTTTGCCAGAGTCTGTAATTCCTGTATATATAACCTGGGTGTCATCACAGCACAAGTGAACAATGTGCTCCATCGTAGGCCGCATAATTGCTTACCATCAGAGGAGATAGTGGTCAAATGTCGGCCCATCAAATATAATCATAATAATGTTCATAAATGTTGTATTTGCAAATAAGTATTTTATGTATTTTGACAAATTGTATTGGTGTGAAGTTTACAACATATACAAATGTTGGTAAATCACTACATAGTATAAAACAAAGTCGCTATCCGCAGTCTGTTTGTCCCTATGTATGCTTAGATATTTAAAACTACGCAACGGATTTTGATGTGGATTTTTTTAATATATAGAGTGATTCTTAAGAAAGGTTTACAATTTATATGTAATAGAATGACAAGGGCACGGACAAGAGTCCGTGGAGAATAAGAAATGTAATATAAAAAAAAAGGAAGGTTTATATATATAATACATGCATATTGCACCTGTGCGAAGCCGGGCGGGTCGCTAGTCATAAATAAATAAAATTAATAATTGAAAGTATTTTGTTTGTTAATGCACACACAACCCATGAAAATATTGTGTGAAACAGTTTTTAAATTGAAGTAATTATTTACTTAAAAATCCCACACCCCCTAGTTGTTCCCAAAAAGTTAGGTGTATTTTGAAGGTATCCCGTCATAAAAAAAATTGTTACTTACAGGACATTCCGGAGCTGCTAGGAGTAGGTGCCACACAGCATCTAGCCTTGCTGCTCTTACCAGCAGAGACTGAAACAAAAGGATTGTCACTTCAATTAAAACACTTACTAAAATCTGTTAGAAGTTTTACTCTCATTGTTTATTACTAATTGGCAAAACAAACTTTGTGCTGTCTCAAAAAAATATTTTCTCAACTGATGTCTTGCCTTTTAAACCTTTCCTGGACTTCCACGAACATTTTAACACCAAATTATGCCTAATCGGTTCAGTCGTTCTCCAATTTTTATTTATAAACATTTATAAAATGTATGTACATGTTTCATTTCATTTCATTTATTTCTTATATGTTGTTTGTCTTGTTATATGTTGTTTGTGTTGTATGTGTTACAACACAAACAACATATAAAACAAGTAAATAGGTGTACTTCGTTTTTATATGTGTGTATTAATTGTTTTTTTTATATATTGGTTGGGCTGAAATTGGACCTCTATCTCGCCTGGTAGTAAGCGATGATGCAGTCAAAGATTTATTCATTCAAGTAGCATTCTAAACGAGAGAATAAAAAATTTGACGATTGACTAAGTAACAAAATTTTAAGACAAAATATAGTATTTACATTTACTTTTAGGGGCTTTTGCCATAGTATTCAGACAGGGAACATCATCAACAGCCTATAAATGCCCACTGTAGAGCAAAGCCTTTTCTCACACGGAGATTTGAGCATTAACCACCACGTTCAATGTGGTTTAGCGATTTCAAACTTATAATTAGAAATTAAGTTCCCTCGCGATGTTTACCTTCACTGTTTGATACGGTATCTAAAAGAAATTAATCAGAGGTTATCATAGCGGGCCCGATAAAAACATATTTTACTCAGACACTAAATATTTCTTAGTTAAATTAAATTTTCCACTGAGACAAAAGGCACCGGCACCATAATAACCATAAAACTTATAATAATCACCTTTAGATCCAACAGACGCCTTGGTTCTCGCCATGTTACAGTTTTAGCACTTCAATCAAGTGTTAATTTTAAATAAAAACACGTAAAAAACCACAATAATGTCCAAAAAACTATTTACTTCGTGTTTGTGTCAATAATAACAGCAAAAACGCGCGAAAAGGTGTTTTGATCATTAAATGCCACAATAATGTCAGACGTCAGTCAGCAGCGTGCCAATGCTGCCAACACAATGCCAATTGCCAATGTATGTGCCCACAATTTTTTTTATTAAAATCAGTATTGGGTACCAACCTTTTTATCTTAATGATTGCCATTCATGTGATTCTAAATAATTTATGAAATCGAAAAGGGCGTTGTCATACTCATTACTTATACTATTATTAAAACTCGCAGTTCATTTTCCAAAAATATGAAGACATAGGAAAATAAAGTTTAAAATTTAGAATCGAAAACTTGAGCGAACTAAGCTTTAAAAACTGTTGGTCTAAGCCTTAGACCAACAGTTTTTAGAGCTTAGACTTTAAGGTGTAATAAACCGGAGGTTATACGCCGGGGTCGTGCGGTCCATGGCCCTCTACGGCGCCCCTGTGTGGGCGCCGAACCTGATGCGGCGTCCCGCTCGGACGCTGCCCATGTCACAGAGGGTCATGGCGATCCGGATGATCCACAGATACCGCACGATCTCCGGGGAGTCAGCAAACCTCCTTGCCGGATTACCGCCGTGGGACCTGGAGGCGAAGGTGCTCGTGCGCGTGTATCACATGCAGGCGGAAGCACGTCGCCGGCGCCGGATGAGCTCCGGCGCCATCTCATGGCGGAATGGCAGCAACGACTGTCGCAACCGAGGGCTGGGCTCGCTGCCATTGCAGCGGTAAGTCCCCTCTTTGAGGAGTGGCTTGAAAGACGCTACGGCGTTCTCACCTACCGCCTGACGCAGGTCCTCACCGGACATGGAAGTTTCGGGAGGTACCTGTGTCTGATGGGTATCACTGCGAGGACCACACTGAGGATACGGTGGAACACACAGTGGGAAAATGCCCTGCGTGGGCTGAGCACCGCCGTGTCCTCAGGGAAGTGATTGGCGATGGCGGCCTCTCGCGTCCGGGCCTAATACAGGCCATGATGCGGAGCGAGGGGGACTGGGATGCCGTCTCCTCCTTTTGCGAAGCAGTCATGCTAGCTAAGGAGGAGGCGGGACGCGTGCGTACTGCGCGTCGCGTTCCGCGCGCACCTCAAAGAGCCATCAGACCACCACATATGGGGCCCAATAGGGCCGATGCCGATTCGGAGTCGCGGATAACCTTACGGGTAACCGGGGCTTCGGCTCGAAGTGCAGGAGAAGGAACGGGGTGGTTTTTAGTCAGTAAGAGTCTGAAACTCCCTTCCGCCTCACCCAGGCGGGAGCAGTCATTCAATTATTTTCCCCCTTAAAAAAAAGGTGTAATAAAAATTATGTGTGATGTGATGACTGATGAGGATAGAGGAGGTTTGGAGGATTCGGCGCGGCATACGGTTGAAGAGTGTACTGCATTAGCAGAGCCGCGTCGTGGGTTCTTTGCAGTACTCGGCGGGAGTAACTTGTCACTGTCGACTGTTATACTATGGTCGACAGTGAGAGCGCATGGTATGGAGTCACTTCCTTCTGTGAACAAGTCATGTTATAAAAGGAAGCGGCTGAAAGCGAGAGGGAGGTGTCAAATTCTCGCCCCTTTCGCCGTAGACTGCTGGTCGTCAGCGCCGTGAAGAGGCAGCCGATCTGTGACCTCCATAGGAGACACCTGCGGGCGACTGAACGGGGGAGTCAGACGTCTGCTATATAGGCAGGAATAGGCATTAGCGTAGTGTTCCACGAGCGCTACTCGAAGAAGGGAAGCAGCCTCCTAGGGCAGCTTTTTTTAAAGGGTTGAAAATCATCTAATGACTGCTCCCGCTTGGATGAGGCGGGAGGGAGTGTCAGACTCTTACTGACTAAAAACCACCCCGTTCCTTCTCCGCAGCCCCACGGTACACGTTTGGTTCTCCGCGACCTTCTAGGGCAGCTAAGGTGGCAAACATAGCGGTGCCGGGTGTGGTGATTCCGTAAGGGCAACCCGGGTAACGGTCACAAGTAGTGAAGGAACACCGCGGTGGTTTTAGGCGGTAAGACTCTTGCACGCCCCTCCGTCCTCCCCGTCGTCCGTTCGAAGTAAGAAGTCCACGCGGATTTCAATCGCAGGAAAAAAAAGGTCTAATGAAAATTGTAATGGCAACATTAATAACAACGCATTCATTCATTCAATTTCATTCGTTCGTTGAACTTTTAGAGTTTGGCAGTTCGTATTGCTACGAAAGTGATTTTTATTAGTATTTTTTCCAATTTTTAAGTGTATATTGTGTATTTAAATTAAATTAAAACAATAATAAGTGTGAGTGTGTGTTCCATTTTAGTATTGAAGTGAATAATGTGTGATTATTCAGTGGTTGAACTCTAAAGGTAACCTTACTTGAACAATTTTATCTTTTATTTCAATATAACGGTTTTTCTATAAAATCCAAGGTAGTAATATCACTATTTCGTATTTTTACACATAAACAATTAATTTTTCTAACTAATTGCGCTCAAAAAACATAAAATTGACATTTATCCTACATAATTATGATTCTTTTTTGGAAAATTCCATCTGTAATAATTTCGTAGAATATCTTTAGTACTATTTATAAATAAACATTAAAGAATATGAGTTGCTTTTAAGCATAAACAATTAGGTATTATTAAAATAAAAATTTACCTATTCTCAATTTTTATGGACACTGAAGCGTCATGTCGTGGTTTTTTTGCGGACACGATAAAATTAACACGATTAATGATAAAATTAACAAGTGACCGCAAGCCCAAGTGTCGAGCAAGGAGTTTCGGATTCAATCAGTAATAGGTTTGGCAAAAATGATGATCAAAGAAAAGATTTAGGAGAAAAAGATCACATTCGAAGGATTGATGTATATTTGTTACTCTTTCTTAAAATCACTTCTGAACAGATGAAATTTAGTAATGGGACAGTTGATTGTAGTCTGGACACATAAATTTTATCTGGTGATGCTGCTAACAGAAACTAATACAATATAGTTAAGTCTTCTACACCGGCTCTGTCCAAACAAAGGCCCGGCTTGTTTTCATGTGGCATGGGACACACATTTTAATCTTGTAAGGGAACAACATGCATACCAATTAAACTCGCTAGCCAGTTGCACACTGGAACATTTTTTGGGACTTACTCTTGAACCCTATTTTGATCTATCGACATTGGTACTGTAAAATTTTATACTCCTGAGTTGTGACACTAGCACCCATTGCATCCATATTGCGTTGATATTTAATGAACTAAGTGGTATTGAGTTTGGTTTTATATTCTGTACTCTGAATGCTGTTTTAACAGCTAAGATAGGAGTTGTGTAGTTGATATTAAATAATTATTGAGATTTTATTGGATTTGAATTGCATAGACATTGGTTTCAAGAGTAATTACCCTGGAAGGAACTTTGCCTAGTAGTAGAGTAGAAAGCAACTCTTCATTAGCTAGCTACTGAGCGTGGTTTTACCTACTGCTCTAGTTCTATTGATCATAGTGTGATGTTTTTGTAATCAGTAAGGAATCAGCGCCGTGCATGAACACCCCCAACACCTAAGGAATTGCAAGTGCGTATCCAGCCTTTGAGAGTTAGTCAAATTAACCCATTGAAATCCATCCCCTAAATTTGGTCATACAAAAGTAGTCTCTAAACATTGGAAATAAGGTCGATAATGTAATATTAGGGGTGAGCGGTCACCGGTGACCTATGGGTACCTTGGGGATCTATGGGTTAAAAATCATTTATTTCAATTAGACCAGAAAGACACTTTTGAATGTCATCAAAAATTTAAAAGTGAAGCTATTTGCTTACTCCAAAGTGTAGATTCCTATGTAGAAGAATGAGCAAGAAACTCCATAGGTTACTCTTTGTCAATCAGGTTCACAATTTTAATTGTTTGAGAACAATGTAACACCAAAATCCAGTCAGAGATCGATAAAGAAATATCTTTAAGGACAATAAAATCATGTATGATTTTACAGTCTGAAGCTGACCAGTCCCAGTTCACGGCGCGTTCACGAACATGACACATACACCAGTACCACCCAACTCAACCATATTGTAGGGAAACGAGCAATCCATACCATGTGGCACTGCCACTGTTAGGGATTTGTTTGAGAATTGGACCTCTCATGATCTCACTTACACGGCCGCACATAACACTGTGATACGGCATCTCTGTACTGCTAGGCCTGTTTTTCGCTAGGGTGGAATTCTTTGCCAGACTGTATATCCTGAAGGGTATAACCTGGGTGTCTTCAAGGCCCGAGTGAATAGGTTACTAATATAATGACGTGCTCGACCTAGACTAGACTGCATCATCGTGCACCACTAGGCGAGATAGTCGTCATCTCGTCATACATCAGTCCATCAAATATATATAAAAAAAAGAATGACTTCTTCCTCCTTGGATGAGACGAGAGGGAGTGTCACACTCTTACTAACTGAATACGATGCCGTTCCTACTCATGCTTTGAACCAGAACACCAGTAACTTGTGTTGAACTATAATTTTATCATCATGATCATATCAATTATAGAACGGCCACTGCTGAACATAGGCCTCCCCCAATGACTTCCAGATAGGCCGGTTGGAATCCAGCAGCTTCCTGCGACCTTAACCCGTCGAGCGTCCGCGTTCCTTATGATCCAACGGGTGCACACGTGACATTTGGAGAAAGAAAGAAAATGTATTTATTTGGCCATTGGCACACGAAAACAAGGATCATTACAATAGAAATAAAACAAATACAGTCAACATAAAAACAAAACATTAATAATAGATGTTATAAAAAAAGAGAAAGCAGCATGGAACATTTTTTCTTATGATCCACCGGGTGCTCATAAGGACGCTCGAGGGGTTAATCAGGTCGTTTGTCCACCTGCTAAAATTGTATACTGTATCTAAAAATACTTATTTTCTCCTCCTCAGCACTTCACAATGGAAGACGACATAGATATAGAGGAACATGATGTCCTGGACCATCCTCGGATAAAGAGCATCTTCCCTGACCTGTCCAGGGTGAAGATTGAGATAGTTGACGATGATGATGGAGTGGTAGAAGGTAAGTTTTATGGAATAAGCCGTTGAACGAGCGGACAGATCTACTCATCATCATCATCAACAGCCTATAAATGCCCACTGCTGAGCAAAGCCTCTTCTCACACGGAGAAGGTTTGAGCATTAATCACCACGCTTGCTCAATGCGGGTTGGCGATTACAAACTTATAATTAGACATTATAAGCCCAGGTTTCCTCACGATGTTTTCCTTCACCGTTTGTCAGTGGTGTCTGAATAATCTGAGAAAGTACATATAACTCGGAAAAAGTGACATTGGTACTTGCCGTTGGTAGGTTTCGAACCCGCACCCTCATGCATGAGAAGCGGGCGTCTTAAACCTCCGGGCCACCACGACATTTCTACGGATGACGGATCTACTGATGGTAAGCAATCAGCGTCGCCCATGGACACCTGGAACACCAGAGGCGTTACAAGTGCGTTACCGGCCTTTAAGGGATTAGGGATTTGAGGATTGTTGGTGATTCAGGGATTGGGGAGATTGGGGAAGAGGGAAGGGTAATCGGGCCTCTTGTAATGTTTATAATATAATATTTCTTCTTTTTCAGAACACTATGAAGCGCCCGTAGATAATCCAGAAGAGCTATATAAGTATGAATATAGTTTTGATAATACAGATGATAATGAGGAGCCATTGCATTATGAGGAGGAGGAGGAGGAACAGCAGGAACAAACGTTCTTTTTTAATAATGAAATCATATTGGGTGAGTTTTACAAGTTACAAATTAACCTGTATATCCTCATCATCACCAGTGACCGCTCTCCACTAACTACATTATAGACCTTATTTCCAAAGTTTAGATACTACTTTTGTATGAACGAATCAAGGGGATTTCTATTGTAACTTTCGTGGTACATCCTTATCCTTACTAATATTATAAATCGGAAAGTGAGTTTGTTTGTTTGTTCCGCTTTCACGCCGTAACTACTAAACCGATTGCTTTGAATTTTTGCAGACGTAAATTTAAAAGTCTGGATTAAATAATAGGGTACTTTTTATCCCGAAAAAATTTGATATTCTCGAGGGAAAACGAAATTATTGGTATAGATGGCGCTGTGTGTATTGGCATGTGTCACATAGGCTTTTTATTCTTTTGTGACGCGAACGAAGCCGCGGGTAAAAGCTAGTACTAAATAAATTATTATGTTTTCGGCTTACTCGCGTAATAATTTGACGAGGAACTCGACTAGTTTCAAGCCAGTAGCAGCGCGACAGTCGCCGCGTCGCGGGTCGCGAAATACTGCTCATGAATATGAGCCTCTAGCATGGCTTGAAACTAGTCGAGTTCCTCGTCAAATTATTACGTGAGTAAGCCGAAAACATAATAATGAATTTAGGGGATGATATTCAACAATTTTTAATGGGTTAAAGTATTTTATTTTACTTAGTCACTTCCTTTTGTATGATGAAATTTATTGTCGAGTGGTTGGGGGATTGTCAAGCATACATCCAAATACTGAATGGCTACTCCATATTACATTGTACTTAAATATCGTTCCATCTCTGTCATTTTACAAAGAATTTGTAGAGACAGAACTATTCTTCTTACAACAGCGTACGTACAATAGCATTGCGTAACATCACGCCTTTTATTCCCGAAGCGGTAGGCAGAGGTGCACGTTATGCCACTGTATAATGTAACACCCACTTTTCACTATTTATGTTATGAGTCCTATGTAATTGGGGGTGAGCCTATTGCCATATACCGGGCACAATTCCAGACTCCGTGCTGCTACTGAGATTTTTTTCAAAACCCAGTAATACTTTGCCCGACCTGAGAATCGAATCCGAAACCCCTTGTCTAGTCGCACTTGCGACCACTCTGCCAACGAGGCAGTCTACAATAGCTATAAGTGCCGTAAATGTGCACCTCTGCCTACCTCTTTGAGTATAAAAGGCGTGATGTTATATTATGTTATGTTAGAACTATACTTACCGCGGTTTAAAATTGAGTGCGATTAAGTATTTGGCTAATAGATTCTTGGGTTCGGTTCTAAATAATACTAATAGCATTACGAAATAAATTGAACAAAATAACTACTTATAACTAGTAATAAAAAATCTGCGATACATAATCTAAATAAAATTAGCGTCCTCCTCTCTTCTACGTTGCCGTGCCCTACAGGGTCCATACTGTACTATATTATTATGTAACACCTTATAAACATATGGAGTGCAATAAACGTATTGAGTATTGAGTATTGAGTATAGTGTCGAGCGTTGAGATATTTTTTTTTTTCGAAATTTTATACATTATCTTCATTTGCATAGTCTGTAGGTGTTTCTTCTTCGCCATTGAATGTGAAAAGTGTTTATACAACTTCATACTCAATAACATCAACAGCCTATAAGTGGCCACTGCTGAGCATACTCTCTTCTCACAAGGAGAATATTTGAGCATTAACCACCACGCTTGCTCAATGCGGGTTGACGATTACAAACTTATAATTAGCAATTATAAGTCCAGGTTTCCTCACGATGTTTTCCTTCACCGTTTGTAAGTGGTGTCTAAATAATCTTAGAAAGTACATATAACTCGGAACAAGTCACATTGGTACTTGCCGTTGGTAGGTTTCGTACCCGCATCTTCATGCATCAGAAGAGGGCATCTTAGCATAGGCATATTGTCAGCGTCTCTCTTCTAATTCTTCTGTTTTAATTTTTCAACTCAATGTATTTATTACTTCCACTGTCACCACCTGACTGACTGACTTAAAATTGAGTAACGTTTCAGTATTCCGGCATTAGTTACTTTTGCTTACGTTTGTTTATGAAATTGTACACGCGCACCTGTTATACTTAGATACTGACTTAATTTAATTTAGCCATTAATTTTTAGTTTTATAAGCAATGTTATTGTACTTAATATGTAAGCACATTTTTTACCTGAAACACAGGCTTGTACCTAGTTCAGGTTTTATATAAACTTACGACTTTATTAAGTAAAAACGCGGGTTACTCACGTGAATATACTGAGCGAGCTGCGCGACGTCGCCGCGACCGCGCACGCTGCTCATGAGGAAGAACCCCTCTGTGGTTCGAAACTAGTAGAGATTTTCTCAGTATATTCACGTGAGTAACCCGCGATTTTACTTAATTTAGTATGTCTCACGATAGTTATTATAAAAACACTTAGGTACGACTTTCCTTAGATAATAAGATTTATTTTGTAATCTAGCTTTTTACACCAAATAAACATTATTTATTTATTTATTATTTTATTATTTCAGGATCCAAACCGCCAGTCGATTGGGATGCACTCAAATTGGAGGCCGAGACCTCCCATCCCATAGTAGACTTAGAAGATTGGGGCCCAGCCCTCGAATCCAGCCCATGTTATTGCAACACATGCTCCATCCTCTTCCCAACAGTCAACGCCTTAGATGCCCATAAAATGATCAGCCATTCCTACCTAGTCGCCATAGATTTAACCCCTAAAAACACCGCTAGAAAAAGCACGGTAACTTCAAAATATTGCCACCACTGCTCCAAAAACTTCCCCGATGATACATCTCTAATTAAACACTTATATGAACTCCTACCGCTAAATTTCCCCGTTAAAGAGGAACCGGGAGATTCAGAGACGACGAAGCCGAAGAAATCGGTGATTCCATACCCTAAAAAAGTTAAATCTGCGACTCCAGTACAGAAAAATATCAAAATTGAACCGAAAGAAGAGTTTGAAGAGCCGATAGCAGAAGTACGGAAACGAAAAATTCGGTTTAAACTGCCTAGAGATGGCAAATTCTTCGCGTCCTCCTCTCTTGTGCCTAGAGGAACTTTGTTCCAGTGTAATAAGTGCCAGATCGGTTTCCTATCGTGCTTCAGTGCGCAGGCACATAGTAAAAACTGCGAAAAAGCGATGGTATTCGACAAATGTGGTGTTTGCAAACGAAAGATCCGAAAAAAGGACTCTTTGGTGCATGCTCTGCAACATCAAACCAATGATAAGTTGAAAATTTACACTATAAACAAAAATATATACGATAAAGTGCTTTGCAAATGCCCCAAATGTCTGTCGTGCTTCGACGAGCTAGGATTTTGGGCGCATTATGGTAAATGTAAGAAATCCGAAAAGAAGTCGACTCGTTGTCCCGACTGTGATCTGCATATCGCAGCCACAAGGTACCAACTCCACCGCATAAAGCATGCGACAAAGAAACTTACTAAAAAAGACTTCATAGTCATTGAATTTCTAGACCATCCTGCTAAGAACTTGGCTGACATGAAGCTAAAAGCTAAGGAATATAAAAAGAACTATAAAGAAAAGACAAAACATACTAAACAAGGCGCTGATGTAGTAATATACCCACACGATATACCTCTGTATTACTGCGATTTCTGCGGTTGTTGTCAATACAAACTAAATTACAAGGGCCATGTAGATGGCATGTGCAAAAGTTCAAAAGGAAAGAAATACTGCGATAAATGTGGCCTATGTTTTTCAGCTAATAGCATGACCAGTCATAACCGCTTACACGCCAAACGCTCATTCCAGCTTTCAGATATAAAAATATTCAATTTACTAACCGGCAAAGTTATGGTTCCGCCAATCCCAGAGATGTATCAATGCCAGAAATGCGAGAAGCACTTTTTGTACTACAAAAATGTCAGGGAGCATAAATGCAAGCAGGAGAAGTATATAACATGTAAAGTGTGCGTTAAAAAGTTTAGCATACCCGCTTATAGGATACACAAAAAGTTCCATACTGTAGATGAGTTAATACCGGAGCTCTTGAAGAAATATAATTCATTGAAGAGTTTGTGGAATGTCATCTACATGTGTCAAACTTGTGAGCTAGTTAACATGACCTATGACTCCGCAGTGACTCATTCCCAGGGACATCTGAACTACGTTATAACAGATTTTCATAAAATGTGTTACAAATGTAATCTTAAGATAGCTGAGAAGGAGTATCATTTGCATCTAAACCTCCATGTGAATAATGTGAATTTAGGACGGGATTCATTCATGTTCCTAATGTATAATCCATCGCATTTGTTCAAGAGGGAATGGATGTCGCTATTCTCAGATTTGCCCGACCTGGATCGGAGACAGATTTTGTTGAAGAGTGTCTATAGGTATGTTTTTCAAATTTTTCTATGATTGTTGACATATCCTCTTGCGCGTATTTTAATATTTTAGTAAGTTATTAGTATATTGCGTCAAGCGTGTCTTTGCATTGTTCTTACATATGCGTACAGTATTGAAATACGTATCAGAGACATTGTAGAACACACTTTTTTAAAAAGAGTAACGAATGGAGTTTCTTGCTCGTTCGTCTCCATTCGAATCTATATTTTGGAATGAGCACCTAGCTTCACCTAGTTTCACTGACGGACTGACTGGCATCAGCCGGTAAACGAGCAGACGGATCATGGTAAGCAATCGGCGTCGCCCATGGACAACTGGAACACCAGAGGCGTTACAAGTGCGTTACCAGATTTTTGGGGATTAGGAGTTTGAGGATCGTTGGGGATTCAGGGATTGGGGAGATTGGGGAAGGGGAGGGTAATTGGGCCTCCGGTAACCTCACTCACACGACGAAACACAACGCAAGCGTTACTTCACGTCGGTTTTCTGTGAGGCCGTGGTATCACTCCGGTCGAGCCGGCCCATTCGTGCCGAAGCATGGCTCTCCCACACTTAATCTTATATTTATATAATTAAATAATAAAGTTTAGATTAACACTTAGGCAACTTTTTGTCTCAAATAAAACAGCGGCGGGGGTACCCGCCGGCAGAAGCGTGTATAAGTGTGGGAGAGCCATGCTTCGGCACGAATGGGCCGGCTCGACCAAAGTGATACCACGGCCTCACAGAAAACCGACGTGAAGCAACGCTTGCGTTGTGTTTCGTCGTGTGAGTGAGATTACCGGAGGCCCAATTACCTTCCCCTTCCCCAATCTCCCCAATCCCTGAATCCCCAACGATCCTCAAACTCCTAATCCCCAAAAAGCCGGTGACGCATTTGTAACGCCTCTGGTGTTCCAGGTGTCCATGGGCGACGCCGATTGCTTACCATCAGGTGATCCGTCTGCTCGTTTACCGGCTTATGCCATAAAAAAGCTACTATGTACATATTATATGTATGTATGTAATGTAGTATATTAAACAATCCTACCTTACTTCTGAAAATTCTGTTAAATATTTTAAATATACTATAAATAAGTTGTCTTATCAGTAACATATTTTTAGAGCTCCTGTCGCCTGTGACACAGGAATATTCCTAGTATAGGCATATTATTTTTAAGATCTTGTCGCTTAATTAAGATATTTTTGTACCTGTGTTGACCAGTGTTCATATGAATAAAAATTTTATTATTATTATTATTATTTTTTATTTATTAGAGATGTAAGTTTAGTGGTCTAACAGTTTTTAATGTCTTTTTCAGATACACGCGCAGCATCCGCCTGCAAGTCGAGTCCACTTCAGTAACAGATAACAAGAAATATTTCTGTATGAACTGCAACAAGTTCATGGACGGACTGTCAATATCATCTCATATAGCGAACAATTGCGCCAAAAATAATGAAATCAAATGCGAAAAATGTCAGGTATCATTCCATTCTCTACAAAATCTATTAGACCATGATGCTGATCATGAAAAAATAACTGAAAAATTCACTATTGTTAGCTTTAATAACGAATGCGACAAGGCTTTCAACAACCATCTTCGAATGCTCGAATGTAAAGTCCCTTCTCAAAGAAAGAAGCAAAAAGAGGTTCCCTTGTCTAAACTAAGAGAGTTACTACTCAAAGATGGCCCGAAGAAGGGTTTTAAGGTATATAAATGTAGAAATTGTGACACTTGTGTCAGTTTAAAATATAGCGTGCCTCGACACAATTGTATTCCTAAAAGCGAAAGGAAATTTTGTAATACGTGCGAGCAATACTTTTCTAAAAAGAAATTCCAAGTGCATATGGAAGCGCATAGAAAAAGGCCGTATATTAGAAAGGGTAATCTGCATGTCGTCCTGTTCACGGGTAAAAATCCGTTAAAAGACGATCCTTCGGCTAAGGTTTACAAGTGCAGATGTGGTCTTCATTTCACGTCCGTAAAAAGTGTAGAAACTCACCTCGAAGTTTGTAATAATAGTTTAAAAGTATCGAAAGAAAAGTGCAGTAAATGCGACTTGGTCTTTCCAACTGATTTGTTAGTCACACACATAATTAACCATCACAGTAAAGAAACGAAATTTGATATCGTAAAAGTCGTTAAAGTCAATTATTTCGTATGCTTTAGTTGTACGATAGTGTTTGTCGATATGCCATCCTTCAACGCTCACACGCAGATATGTAATCCGAAAAATGGAGCTAAGTGCACAAATTGTAAATTGTTATTTGATAAAAAGACGCTACCTGCTCATAGCGTTGCCTGCAATAATCCTGATCTAATGTTTATAAAGAAGTTGACCACAGGTAAGAAGATTGTAAAAGAAACAACTGTTTATAAATGTGAACCATGTGATCTCTGCTACTTGGCTAATAACACATTTAAATATCATGCGAACGAAGTTAATCACATGCATAAGAATCCGCTGACTTGCAAAGTCTGTGGCTTGAGATTAACCAATTGTTCGTACCAAAAACATATTAAGCTACACGAGAATTCGAACGAAGACTATAAAATTAAAGTCGTAAACGGTGTTACAAGACAATTTTACTTTTTGACAGGTAGTAATAAGGTCGATAATGATTTAAAATCGCCGAAGAAGCGTAATTTGACAACCGCTAATGATGATAGTCCTATTGTTAATAAGGTACCAAAATTAGATGAAAATTCACCGAAATTGCGAAAGAGTCGCTCTAAAATCGATGAGCCGTCGACGTCAAAAGAAAACGAAGGATTAGAAATACCAGAACAAACTATTGCTATTACAGAAATAGACGATAAGACTCCAAAATCTAGAAAGAATCGGTCGAAAATTGATGAAGCGGCCAAAGACGAACTGATAGTGCCCGATCAAATTTCGGATCATTGTGTAGAAACCGATACACTTTTGACTGACAAAAATGATTCGAACGATGTTTCTGGCTTGTCAAACAAATTAAAATCTAAATTGCTGATAAATAGATACGAAGCTAACTTATACAAATGTCTAATCTGTAACCAACATTACATGAAGGATTCGTCTTTCGACTACCACGTCAAAAATCACAAAAAACCGTCAGAGATTGAGAATTATAATTGCGATATATGTGGTTTAGACTTTTCAAGACACACTTTGCCTAGACACAGATTTGTACACCACGATCGAATGAAATTAAAACTGGAAGATTTTAAAATATTCACCGAAACTGCTTATTCTACTGCTGCTGAAATAAGGGATAAGATTGCTCTGTATCAGGACAATAATGAGAGAGTTGCCCCGGCAATTTGCAAGGAAACTGATAATATAAGCGACGATGTAAAAATAAGTGAAAAAACAGCAGATTCTATGCAAAATGATCAAGAAATGGTCTACTATAAATGCTCTGAATGCAACGTATGTTTCGTAGACGCAAAAATGTGTTACGAACACGCAAACAAACATGAAGTTTTGGACCCAAAGCTATACATACAGTGTAAAATTTGTGAATTCCAATTTTTAATCGATTACCTAAAAGAACACATGATAGTGCACCATAAAGACGATTTTAGGATAGACAAATTAACTATTCAAGAATATACGTCTCAAATTGGCTCTGAACCGAAAATTGAGACTTATAATGCTATAGATAAGGTCCAATCTCGCTTAGTTAGTACCACTACGGATGTAGGTGTATCATAGGTTACGTTTTTTACAAACTTTTTTGCCACCGCTACTCTTGTCGTGGGTATCGCAAGAGAAAGAGGGTGAAAAAGAGAGAGAGAGGTAAAGTAGGAGGGAGGAAGAGGAGATATAAGAGTGCAATAGTGGATGGTCAATATCAGATTTTGAAATTGGAACGACTTTTCTCACTTCGAACCTTCAAGAAAAGAGCGTATTCCTTTTTAAAAGGCCGGCAACTCACCTGTGATTCCTCTGGTGTTGCGGGTGTCCATGGGCGGTGCTGATCGCTTACTATCAGGTGATCCGACAGCTCATTAGCCTGCTATTGCATAAAAAAATCACCAGCTCATGACAGTCCACTGCTGCACTATGAACGTCCTCTACATAGGAAGGTTTGTCATAATCTCCGCAGGCAGGCGGGTTGGAGATCGCAGTATACAAGGTTCAGGTTTATCAGAGAGCGCTGCTGCACGGTCTCTGTAAAATGTGTAGTCCCTTAGTCGGGTATACGACACCCGCGGGAATAGTAGCGGTGGTGACAAATGTATTCTACTCACATTGACAACGCCCTTAAGAATTCATTTTGTAAGTTAAGTAGGTAGCTATACATAAAATAATGTTTTGATCAATTTTGAGTCTTAAGAGGCTAGGATATAAGGTTTAAAAATCGTTTCTTTTGAAGTGAGAACATATTTTTATCAAAAATGACTTTTTCAATATTAATTATTGACAATAATAGACCAGATCTTAAATTATTTTAAATCATTAGACACGTATTTTTTATTTTCTTACGAAAACTAATACTTTCGACAATATATTGATTTGAAATGTCGCGTGACGTCACTTCTATGTACGTTTTATACGTAGAAATGACGTTTTAGCTCCCACTCCTAAACTTTGATTCGTTTTATCTTATTCTTTACTTATATGACAAAATAAAAAAAAAACATTATCTAACTGACGGACTAATTAGGTTTTTTATTTTCATACTCCTCATCTATCCTACTCTTATTGTACTGATTATCTTAGAATAATTGACTTATAAAGCATACTGAAAATTTTTAATATCCCTAACAGTCCTCAAAATCTCGGAGTCTGGAATTGTGCCCGGTATATGGCAATAGACTCACTCCCTATTACATGGGACTCATAACGGTGGGTGTTACATTGTACAGTGGCATTAAGTGCCGTATGTGCACCTGCCTACCCCTTCGAGGATAAAAGGCGTATAATAATATGTATGTATGTACTAACAGTCTTATGTCTGAATAATAAGGTTCAAAATTGATTAAAATGAACGCAAAAATAATTTGTTAAAAGCATTTGATGTTTTTTAGTATGTATGTGTTTACTGTTAAGAATATGGAATACAAGTTTTACATGTATTTTACTTTTTGTTTCAAAATATCCTGCAGCTGTAGCCAAATGCCATTTAGCGCTTGTCTACATGTAGAATAGAAAACCAAATTATATGGAACTAGCTTTTACCCGCGGCTTCGCTCGCGTGACAAAAGGATAAAAAGCCAATGTGACATATACCAACACACACAGCGCCATTTATACCAATACTTTTGTTTTCCCTGAAAGCGAAAAAGCTTGTGAAAGCGGAACAAACAAACAAACTCACTTTCCGATTTATAATATTAGTAAGGATTGACGTAAATTTTGACACTTGTCGGTGTCATCCCCACACATTTTGATTTTTACTCTCTCTGTAGACAAGCGCTAAAGTGGCGTTTGGCTAAAGGCGCTGTTAAGAATATGGATCCTACAACCTTTACGCTTAACCCTTTGAGTACCGTCATTATAGACACAATTGAAGAACAATAGGTTGCGGTCATCGGTGTCCTCGCGGTGTTTGACAGTTTAATGCCCGAATACTGAAACGTTACTCAATTTTAAGTCACGCTTAAGTGTAGTTCTGTCACCACTAATTCTTTGTGCAATGACAGAGATGGCACGGACGACTAATTTTTATTTTAATGTCTGTCTGGTAGATTATTTAAAAACATTAGACACGTATTTTTTATTTTCTCACAGAAACGAATAGTTTCGAAGATATATTGATTTGAAATGTCGCGTGACGTCACTTCTCAGTACATTTTATACTAAGAAATGACGTTTTAGCCCCCACTCCTAAACTTTAGAGATTCGTTTTATCTAAGTATTGTTTTATTATACGACAAAATAAAAAAATACGTGTCTAATATTTTTTCATTACCTAACTTACGGACTAATTATATTTTTAATTTTCATACCCTGTCATCATCCCCATTGAGTAACGTTTCAGTATTCCGGCGTAAGTCGCGCTTAAGGGCTGGCAAGGCGCGCGCCCTATGTGTTATAAGCGTTCATAGGCCACGGTGACCACTTACCATCAGGTGGACCGTTTGCTTTTTGCCACCGTCGTAGTATACAAAAACAGAAAAAGAGAAAAGACCTTTACTCAAATACTCTTTTAGTCGAATAGTAATAATCTTATGAACATCACATTGCAATTATTAAAAAGAATACTTAGGAGTAAAGTGCCGTAATGTGCACCTCTGTCTACCCCTTCAGAGAATAAAAGACCTTATGTCATTGTAATATAGACTTAAGTCTCGAATAACACACAGATTAAATAAAAATATAATTAGATAAGACTGTACTGATTAAAAAATACACAAAAATGATCTTTATTCCAATGACAATAGAGTTTTTATTAAGGCAGCCAAGTTATTCAGTATGCAGGTAAGAAACTAAAGATTGGTTCAGTACTGAGACAGTCATCAGTGAAACAAGTGAATTTATTTCTGCAAATAGGCTACAAGGCAGCACTTTTACACGTCAATTTTATCAAGCGAACGATGAGGTCGACATTTCCTAACTGACTACTCTGAGAAGAAATGCCGAAACAAACTCAACTTATCATCATCATCAGCCCTTGTTCGTCCACTGCTGGACATAGGCCTCTCCAATGGCACGCCACTGAGCTCTGTCTTCAGCTCCTCTCATCCAACCACTGCCAGCCACCTTGCGGATGTCGTCACTCCACCTAGCTGGAGGGTGCTCTACACTGCGTTTCCCTAGACGCGGTCTCCACTCTAGAACACGTTTACCCGCTATTGGTTCTTCGATTAATGTGACTGGCCTACTGCCATTTCAGCTTACTCCTATGGGCTATGTCGAACTTTGGTTCTCTGTCGGATCACTTCGTTTCTGATTCGTTCCATGAAAGAGACAGAAAGTAGCTATTGTTACACTAAATTGTACGCTTTGTAACGAAGCCACGTCTTCTGTAACTCAGTCGGCTCTAGACAACCAATGGCTACTGTCTCTGTACTGAACCAATCTTTGTTTTCTTACCTACCTTTTTTAATTTCAAATTGATACTGCCATTTTTATTACTAATTTTATGTATATAATTTTTGTCTTACTCTTAAGTAATTGATTTTTAATGCTTACCTACCGATTCAAATTTGCTGTAAGTTAAATAAATAACTTGTAAGATGTTTTTCGCTTTGCCTAGAGGGCGTTGTTGTAGTTTTCAAGGCAACTATATTTGGTAATGAATCTACCAGTTTCGCTTTGTTAAGACAATTGGGACTAAAATCATTACTGGCGCCCTCTAGGTAGTGCAAAAATGTTAGTTGTAACTTTTTTATGTTTTATTTAATTTTAATTTCTTTGTGTACATACTTTGTTATGCGTTGATGTGTTATTATTATTGTAAATAAAAATGCGATTTTTTGTCACTTTGTATTTTTATTTTATTGTTATTAAAATCTTATTTTCTAGTCTTTGGTTGTTTAACCTTTTGAGAAGGGCGCTCCGGCGTTGGTTTCCAAGTAGAACACGCCAGATTTTCTGAAAATAATAAAATAGAATATTATAAAGAGCTCTTATTTTTTGAAGTGTACTAAATAGGTAGATACCATAAGAATCTCATTAAATTATTGATTAATCGCAAACTAGTTATGCCCTTAGGGCCGAAACACATAACCGCTTTGCGTCACCGCAACGCTAAAACCGACAGTTTGCGTTGCGGCGTTGCGGCGTCGTGAAAAAGAGCATTTTATTGTCGTTCGGTAGGGTACCCAGTTCGTTGTGATTTTTTATTGTGGATAGACGTGTCTCTGCCATGGACCATCGTGAAAAACTTATTGCTTATTTTTTACTTTAACAAAACGCTCTTTTTCACAACGCCGCAACGCCGCAACGCAAACTGCCGATTTTAGCTTTGCGGCGACGCAACGCGGTTATGTGTTTCGGGCCTTATGATGCGACTTATCGGTCAGAAAAATGAGAATTTAGGTTTTTGAATCCGGTTTTGATGGATAGTAAGTAAAAGCCGGTTCTTTATTAACCTTTTGAACGCCAGAGCAAAAACACATGAACCTGCCCTCAACGCCAAGCCACAAATTCCGCGCAAATTTCTACGGAAGAAATAGGGATTCCAATAGGGAATCAAATTGTTGATTTCGTGTTTCCGGTTCCGCTTTTTCTGTCATGTATTTGTGTCGTTGGCGTCCAGGGACAGTTTTCACTTGTCACTTATATGTGACATCGGCGCTCAAAAGCCAACTTTCTCATAATTAACTGAACTGATTTTGTGGTATTAAAAAAAGTATCATACAGTTAGGAACAAGTTTTAGTACATAGAAATCGTTTTCAAAAAAAAAGGAGATTGAAGTGGGAAATATGTAAGGATACTAACCCAGTCTTAGGTTCGATACCACCCATATTCAGTGTCTCCGGTAGATGGCAGTCTCCTACAAGTGCGTGTTCGTAGCTCTCACACTTGACTCCTGTGAAACCTCCATCACGGATAGATTCAGCGAAGTAATGGTAGCATCTGAAACGTAACAAATAAATTACCTTTGTATTAAAACTTCTTTTTTTCTCTTCATTTAATTAGGAACTTTTGTACATAAATACACCACAGTTCCATTTTACCTAATATCTTATACTAGCTACTTCTGCGCGGTTTTACACGCTCTGCTCAGCTCCTATTGATCGTAGCGTGATGTTTTATAGCCTATAGCCATCCTCGATAAATACGCTACCCAACACAAAAATAATTATTCAAATCAGACTTGTAGTTACGGAGATTAGCGCGT